CACATGCACGCTCGCTCAGCCCGGCCGGGTCTCCCAGGCCCCACCCCAGCAGGCTAGCTCTCCAACCATTGGCCGGAGCTGGGTCACATGGCCTCATCTAAGCCAATGGCCAGCAAGAGGAGTGGCCGACATTACGTAGGTCCTGTTCGGCCTATCAGCATTCACCTCTGGGCTGGGGGTGGGCCCTACCTTCAGTCGCAAATAATACTGCCTGCTTCCTGCACAAAATCTGTTCCCTTTGCAGGGGAGGGGATGGGGAAGGGGCCTTGGGGATGGCGTGGAAGAGTTGCCGCGGGAATGGGCTTGGATTGAGCAGGAAGGGCCCGGAACCCAGGCTGAAAAGCCAGGACTGTCTAGGGGCCATGGGGAGCCACGGGTGGCGTTTGAGAGGGGAGGGCAATCCCACCAAGGCGTTATGAGGCCCAGCTCTGATCAGGGTTCTGCCATAGCATCCACCACGCCCGAGTCTTCAGTTGCTGCCTTGGCTATCAGCATCACATGCCCTATTAGAGAACCCACAAGGCTTTGCTTGCCAGAGCCCTGACCGTTGCAGGTCCTAGTGCGAGGGCGGTAGATCTTAAGTTGGTGTGGAGTCTATCCCAAGCCTTCTTCTGATTGAGGAAGGTGGGAGGAAGTGACCCTGGGAGTTCTGGGGTTATATCCTGGAGGCAAAGGTTGGCACTTCAGGGTATGCGTGGTTGCTATAGCCCCTGCAGATACGCTCGCTGCTCTGGATCCTAAAGGCTCCACTTGAATAAAATGTAAACAGGCTTAATGAAAGCTGGTTTTGTCCACTTCAAGTGACAGAAACTCAGCTTAAATGGACTTCATCTTATTGGGGTGGAGGAATTCAGGCACAGCTGGATCCAGGACCTCCAATTACAGTACAGGGAGTTTCTGCTGCCTCTCTTGGCTCAGCGTCCCACTGGCCTGGCTTCTCGCTGGCCATTGGTAGGAGCCACCTGCAGCTCCAGGCTCACACCCCTCCGGCTCAGGCAGGAAGTGAGTGTCTCTTTCCCAGAAAAAAAGTCTCAGAGCTGACTCCTTCTGGTTTGCTGAATGCCAGATGATCCTAATTAGTTGAGCCTGGGAGGCTGAGAGGTGCCCACTCCTGGGATCATTTGGGCTGGGAGCACAGGAGGTGATTACTCCAAGGAAAATCTGGTGCTGGGACCAGAAGGGGGGCATGCCAGCCACAATCTGCGGGCTGGCTGTCATTGTCCAGTCCAGAAGAGGAGGGCCCTGCCCCACAGCTCAGTACATGGGTCCTGGAATTCTGCTTATCTGGTACTGATGCCAGTCCCAACACTGTGGGGCTTTGTGACTGCCAGAAGGTCACTTTCCTTCCTCCACCCTCTGTAAAATGGGTGCGTGTCTCATGGCATCAGTGAGTGGCAAAGAAGTCTCATCATGCATCTTCTCTGGACAAACACCTATCTGCTAATTAATAAGAATCTGTATACACATGTCATGCCCCTGCTGTGCACCAGGCACTGTCCCTGGCATCCTGGCTGGAATCTGCAGTAAGGGGATCTGTGCCCATTTTACAGATGAGAAAATGGGATACAGAGCGGTCACACAAGTGGCCTGGCCAAGGTGGCACATCCTGCACTGGGCTTCCACCAGAAGGCTTCCTGTCCCTCCAGTCCTCAGGGTCACCTCCTTGGAGACCCCACAACCTTTCTGCTTCCAGGGCCTCTGTACTGCCACCTGTCTTCATACTTGCGTTCACTCCCTTGTTTGTCTCCAGCGATAGGGACCCTATCACTGAGGCACCAAGCCCAATTTGTGGTGCCTGCCTATTGCTGCTGTGACAGATTGCCACAAACATGGTGATTTAGAACAACACAAATTTTCCTCTTCTAGTTCTGGAGGTCAGAAGTCCAACATGAGTCTCACTGAACTAAAATCAAGTTGCATTCCTTCTGGAGTCTCGGGACGGGGGGGATTTGTTCCTTGTTTTTCCAGCTTCTATTTTTTTTTTTAATTTTTTGAAGATTTTTTTATGTGAGAGAGAGAATGAGAGTGCATGAGTGGGGGGAGGAGCAGAGGGAGAGAGAGAATCCCAAGCAGACTCCCCACTGAGTGAAGAGCCCAACACGGGGCTCAATCCCAGGACCCTGAGATCATGACCTGAGCCGAAGTCAGTTGCTTAACCCACCCAGGCGCCCCACGAGTGCCCTCCTTAATGTCCATCACCCACCACCTCCCTCCATCAACTCTCAGTTTATTCTCTACAGTTAAGAATTTCTTGGGCGCCTGGGTGGCTCAGACGGTTAAGCGTCTGCCTTCGGCTCAGGTCATGGTCCCAGAGTCCTGGGATCGAGTCCCGCATCGGGCTCCCTGCTCCTTGGGAGCCTGCTTCTCCCTCTGCTTCTCTCTCTCTCTCTCTGTCTCTCATGAATAAACAAATAAAATCTTAAAAAAAAAAAAAAGAATTTCTTAGGGGCGCCTGGCTGGCTCAGTCAGTAGAGCATGCGATTCTTGGTCTCAGGGTTGTGAGTTCAAGCCCCATGTTGGGCATGGAGTCTACTTAAAAAAAAAAAAGTCTTTTATGGTTTGTGTCCTCTCTCCTTTTTTCCCCTTTCCCCTATGTTCATCTGTTTTGTTTCTTAAATTCCACATATGAGTGAAATCATATGGTGTTTGTCTTTCTCTGACTGACTTATGCTTGTCCAGCTTCTAGAGGCCATTCACATTCCTTGGTTCAAGGCCCCTTCCTCTACCTCCACAGCCGGCAATGGCAGGTCCCGTGCATCTCTCTGACCACAGAGAGAAATGGTTTCTGCTTTTGATCCTCTGATTCCACTGGGCCCACCTGTGTAATCTGGAACCCTCCCCCATCCAAACGTTTAAGGTGGGCTTTCTCTTACCCATAGCACAAACATCCTACCACTTTTGTTCCCTCAACCCCTTCCTCACCATTGTTCAGTCCAGTGCGATTTAAATGTCCTCCTCCTCTGAGAAGTCGGCCTTGACCTCCCCAGTCTGCGTTGGGTACAGCATCCTCCATCAGAACCCTGATCACTCTGGATGGTCATGGCCTGTTTTCTGTGGGGCCTGGAAAAGTGAAGCCTGGGACCATGGGGAGTCATGGGGGATGTCTGAGCTGGGGAGGGGCCTTATGTTAGACAGCCAAGGTAGGAAGTAGGCTGCAGGGGATGAGGCTGAGGCCAGTTCAGGGTGGAGAGAAAGGCATGAAAAGGGGGCTCCCCAGAGAGGGCCAATGACTTGCTTTAGGTCACCCAGCACATGGCCTCTGTGTTGGGGAGATGTGCCAGGTTGGGGGGTGGGGCAGGAGGCTGCTGGCAATCACCCTCAGTTTCGAACCCACGCCAGGCTGACAATAACCCTTTGGTTTGCACAACGCCGGCTGGGGCGGCTGAGCCATGGCAGGGTCAGATCTCGGCCAAGGTCACAATGTCTAGCTCTTGCACACCCTGGATGAGAACATAGGGTCCCATCCCTGCCCCATTCCCCAACCAGGGGAGAATCCCTTCACAGAGAGGTCAGGGACAGGCCAAGACAGCTGGGTGTCCTCCCTCAGTGCCACTAGGCAGGAACGTGGCCCTTGGCTACTGGTGGGGGCACATGGGTCAGGCTGAGCAGCTGAGATGGAGGAAGGGGTCTAGGCATGGCATATTCTGGTGGCAGATCTCGTGCATATGGAAGGTCTGTGTTGTGCAGTTGCAGGGATCTTTGGCTTCCACATCTGGGGTGGGGAAGATGCAGGAATGGGAGGTGATGCGGTAGCATCATCACCCCCATGAGATACCCCATTGCTCTCAGTCTTTTTTATTTTCCTGAAAGCATTTACCACTCTTTGAAGTTATACATTAACTTGTTCATCTATGTATTTTGTTTCTATGGCCCCTACAAACCATGGGCTTTAAACTGATGACAAGACCAGGTCAGCCTTGGTCACCCAGGTACCCCAGCACCCCCCAACAGTCCTTGCCATAAGGAGATGGTCATTATTTCTTTCAAACAGAGAGGGGCTGAACAGGACCCATGAGCATTTGGAGAATGCCCTGACAATTTTGGGGGGGAGCCCCAAAGATAGGAGGGATGAACTCCAACATAGGAGGAGCATCTGGCTGCCCCAAGGCCCCAGTGGATTCAATTCTTTCCAGGGCCATTCTGATGTCTGATATCACTGTCATAAACTGTGGAAAGGCTGGGATTCTGGGTGGTCAAGGGCTCCAGATATATAGGGCAGAGAACCCGAGGAGAGGAAAAAACCCTAAGCCAGTAAGTGCTTTTCGATGGGGCCTGGGAGGACCATTTGCAAAGGTCTGGGAGGGGAGGAGGGGTTGGTGCCGTCTCCCAAAGGCCAAGCTCAGGGGCCACACTCTGGAAGTCTCTCGGAAGGCTCACTGCTGTCCCCGACGCTGGGGCCATTTGTGGCTCTGGGTCTCCTGCTGCCGCACCCCGCACCCCCCCCCGCCTCTGCTGCCACCAGCCCCGGCCCATCCCCACTCGCTCGCACCCAGCCGAGCCCACTGGCTGCAGCGGCCAGGGGGAGTGCGCCGGGGGTGTGAGTGGGTGGATGCTGCTGGGGCTGAGGTCTCTGGAGTGTGGGGGCGCGTAGGGGCGGGGAAGAGGTTAGGGGCCCAGATCACACTCGGGCCACATGAGCGACCGCTTGCAAACCACGACGTGATACACGGATCCGCAGACCCGCTCCCCGTGGGTCTCCAGCTAGCTCAGCCACAGCCCTCCGGCTGAAGACCCCCCCAAACTCACGGTGGGCCCCGGAACTCACACCCACCACTGGTCCGGCCCTCTCGCGCTGGCCACAGGGACACCTTCCCAAATTCTCGGGCTCCCAGGGCGGACCCCCGCTCCCCACCAGCTGCCCTCGGGGTGACCAGGCCCAGCCTCTGCACACACCGTGCGCGACACTGCCTCGCGCCCCGCCCCGGCCCGGCCCCGCCCCGCCCGCAGCCAGCGGGACCTTTATAGGGAGCGCCCGGCCGCCGCGCGCTGGGAAGTCGGTGCCGCCGCCCTCCCAGCCGCCCGCCCGCCCGCCCGCCCGCCAGCCCGCGCGTCCGACGCGGGGGCCGCCGCCGTCTCTGCGTCCGCCATGCGCCCCGGGACGCCGGGGCCACTGTGGCCACTGCCCTGGGGGGCCCTGGCTTGGGCCGTGGGCTTCGTGGGCTCCGTGGGCTCCGTGGGCTCGGGGGACCCCGCGCCCGGTGAGTGGGGCGGCCGGAAGGGGCGGGCGGGGTGGGCCACCCACGTGGGCCTGCCCGGAATGCGGGCCTTGGGGGAGATGTTGGGGGGCGCGGCGAGGGTGGCAGCTGGTGATCGGAGGCCTCCTCAGGTTCAATCTGGGAGGGCTTCAGGCTCCCCTCCCCCAGCCCCAAAGGGCCTGAAGGAGGGTCACCAGGAGGTCAGCAGAGCAGATGTGGCTCTCTTTCACAATTGTCATGAGTAGTAGTCACCATGACTGCTGACATTTATTGAGTGCTTAGTGTCCACCTTCCGTCAATCCATAATAATAGCCCAATAATGTGTGTACTCTCATCATGCCCATTTTCCAGATGGGGAAACTGAGGTGCAGGGTCACACAGCTTGTAAGTGGCAAACTCAGGATTCGAACCTGAACCATGTGAGTCCTGAAGCCCCAGAGAGGCAGGGCTGGGTGGCTGGACCCTGGACCTCCACCTGAGGTTTCAGATCTTCTCCAGGTTTGGCTTAGGCAGATGGATTGTTGGAATCCCATACCGGCCACTTGTTGGGGGCTGCCAGGCAAGGAATATCCCCACTCCCGGCCTCAGTTTCTTGTTTTGTAAGATGGGTGCCAAGGTGCTGGGCTCCCAGAGCTGGTCCCTGTAAGGCGCTCAGACAGTGCCTGGGAACCAGTGAGCTCTCTGGGATGGGGGCCATGGCCACTCCTGCCCCCACTTAAGGGTGCAGAAAGGGAGGGCTATCAGCCTGCCTACCCCACCCCGCAGCCCCACCCCAGCCCTGCTCGAAGGGGAGAGCTGAGCCCCCTCCCCGAAGGCCGTGTCCCCAGGGAGATGGTGAGCTCATGCAAGGGGAATGTTCCCAAGTTGGAGTGAGTAAGAGGCGGGCCAGGCAAGGGGGGGCTGCCAGGCGAGGGGGGCTCTGTGTGCCCTCGGGCGCTGTCTAGACAGAGGGCAGAGGCGGAGAGGCGGCTCCAGGGCCCACTGACCCTGACATGTCCAGCTCTGGGTGTTTGACTGGTTGGGCAGGATGCCAGGCCTGGGCCTGGGGGCCTGGAGTGAGGGAAGGTGGGGAGAGCTTCCCACCATGAGTGGGGGTTGTAGCTCCTAGAGGACGAGGAATCCCAGAAGGATGGCAAAAGGATCCAGAGCTGAGCTGGGATGGGAGCATCCGTGCAGGTCTCTGCCCCTCCTTCCCAGGTTGGGAGCAAGTTATCCCCTCTGTAATTACCGAGCACCAACTGTATACATCCCCCAGGGCTGGGAGCCGGGTGTTGGGAGTGGCACAGGAGGGCACCTCTGGTGTGGCAGTCACTGCCCCCCTTGTCCACAGGTGGTGTGTGCTGGCTCCAGCAGGGCCGAGAGGCCACCTGCAGCCTGGTGCTGAAGACTGACGTCAGCCAAGCGGAGTGTTGTGCCTCCAGCAACATTGACACCGCTTGGTCCAACTTCACTCACCCGGGGAACAAGATCAGCCTTCTGGGCTTCCTGGGCCTTGTCCACTGCCTCCCCTGCAAAGGTGAGACCATGGGCATCAACCACAGGCCAGGGTCACTGGGACAACTGAGAATGAGCTCCCCATCTCAGGGTATGCAGAAGGAGGTTGAGTGTTTGTGGAAGGAATCCAGGGTTCAGAGAGAGGCTGGGGACTTGAGGTTCCCAGGCCTCAGCCTCCATCTGTTGAGGATTTGGGAAGAAGCCTCCATCTGTTGAGGACTCCCCAGCTTGGTTTCTAGCCTCTAGGCCCTTGCTCATGCTGCGTGCTCTGCCTGGGTGACCTTTCCCACCTGCACGCCACCTGGGAGAAGTACACTCGACTCACACCTAACTCTGGGGAAGGTGGATTTTCCCAACTGGCCATTTGGGTTTGTGATCCCCACCCCCCGCCCCAGTCAGTGTTCCAAACACTTAATCTGCCCATAACCACACAGATTCCAGGGATCTGTGGTGGGACCACAGATGCATGTTTAACAAGCATGTGCCTTCTGGACCATGTTCTGAGGAGTGTTCTCTGCTGCCTCCTTCATCAGACTAGGAACTCCTTGAGGCCAGAATGAATGAATGAATGAGCCAAGACATATTCTCTGCCTTGGAGAAGGGGCTGGGGACCCTCCCAGGCCTCTCTGGTCCGGGCCAAACCTGCAGGGGCCCAGAGGTGGTGTGGGCGCATGGCTTGAAGGAGGTGGGCATTAGTACCAGGGTGTTGGGGCATCATTAGGAGTTTGCCAGCTGGGGAAAGTATGGGATCGGGTCCTAGCGGGTGGGGCCAGGGCAGGGAGGAGGCTGGAGCTGAGGGCCAAGCTGAGAGCCCAGCTGGCCACTGGGATGTGATTAATCCCTGATCAGCCTGGCTGGGTGGTCTTGGACTCACTGCCATGTGCCCTGGCTCCCTCTAGAACCTCCTCTGGGTTCTGGGAGGAGGACAGACTTCAAAAATTGCCCGGCCTGGGCATAAGGTCCAGGTCACACACGCACCCCCCCCCCCCCCCCGTCCCCAATCTCATCTGGCCTTGGGGAAGGCAACTCAGTTCTCCCACTTCCGTTCCAGCTTGTGAAGCCACCCAGGGGGAGTGTTTCCAGATGTGTGTGTGGGCAGGCAGCGTGGGAGGTGCCCAGGTGCGGCCCACATGCCCTGGCAGGGGTGACATGGGGGCGCCAGCTCACCCGCTCATTTATGCTCATGCTCCGCCAGTCGGCCTCACCTTATGCACAGGGAAACTGAGGCTGAACTCAAGAGCTTGAGTCTGCCCTCCAGGCCCACAAGCAACAGAGCTGAGGGGGGGGGGTCCATCTGGGGACTGGCCTGAGTTTTTGTGCTGAGGACCCCTGGCTCTCCTCCGCTCACAGCTGTAACGGGCCCTCAGTTTCCCCCTTTTGTAAAATGCTGACAAAATGGCATCACCTCGTGGCGGAGTGGTTGGGAGACTGCAATGAGCCTGGGAGGGCCTGTAAGACGAGCAGCTCATTAATGGGTCTGGGTCTGGGTCTGGGTCTGATCTGCGTTTCCCAAGGTCTGGGGAGGGGGGTGGTGGGTGGAGGGGAGACCCCAGAGAAAGAACTGCCCTGGTCAGACCTGTTTCCCTTCCTGAGAAATAGGGCTGAAGGGGCAGGGGTAACCCCTGATTCAGGGGGCTCGGGATGTGGGAAACCCCCTCCCCAGGAAATGAGCCTCAGGGCCTAGTGCCAACGCCCCGCCCTCCCCGACGCCTCCTCCGGGTTGGTCCTGGCAGGCAGACGCTGCTCGTCCTCCCCAGACGGGCGCATGGACGGGGTGGGGCTCCCCTCCGCTGACGCAGCCGGGCCCCCCGCCGGCCTTCCCTTCACGGGGCGTAAATCAGGGAACAGACGCCAGCCCGAGCGGGTGGCCCAGCTGCGGAGCGAGAGCGGGCCCGGGCCCTGGAAGCTCGTTCCTGAACCCCTAGGTTCCGGGCAGACACCCCCCTTCCCGCTCACTCTGAGCCCCGCCTCCAGACAGAGCCCAGCCTCGACTCCCGGCCCAGCGGGCCCGGGGCTGATCTCGTCCCCAACGGATCCGGCACCCAGACTCCGAACCAGTCGCCCTCGCCCGTGCTCCCCGACTCCGGACCGCCCCCCACTCAGCGCGGCCTCTAGCCTCAGAACAGGGGGCGGGGGCGCCGTGGGCTCCGCGGACCTCGGGCCTCGGCCACGCGCCCCCCCCCACGCGCGCGTGCCCTGTGTCCGCAGATTCGTGCGAGGGCGTGGAGTGCGGCCCCGGCAAGGCGTGCCGCATGCAGGGGGGCCGCCCGCGCTGCGAGTGCGCGCCCGACTGCGCGGGGCTCCCGGCGCGCCTGCAGGTCTGCGGCTCCGACGGCGCCACCTACCGCGACGAGTGCGAGCTGCGCGCCGCGCGCTGCCGCGGCCACCCGGACCTGCGCGTCATGTACCCGGGACGCTGCCGCAGTACGTGGGGGCGGGGCCGGGGCGGGCGGGGGCGGGGCCTACCAACCAGACTCCCGAGAGGGCGCCGCTGGATTGGGTCAGCTGTGGGGTCGGAAGGAGGAGAAGCGGGGTGGGGTTTTGGAAAGGGAGGTCTGGGGCTCACGTGGGGTGAGAGATAGGGGTGCGTGACTCGGGGCGGGGCTTGCGGGTGCAGCCCGAGGGGCGGGGCCTGGGTGTGGAACGGGTGCGGGCGGGGCGCGCGGAAGAGGCGCGGCTTACGGCGCGGCCGGGGGCGGGGCCTGAGGGTGGGAGCCGCCGGGCCGCGCCCCTGACCCGCCCCGCTGCCTCGCTCGCAGAGTCCTGCGCGCACGTCCTGTGCCCGCGGCCGCAGTCGTGCGTGGTGGACCAGACGGGCAGTGCTCACTGCGTGGTGTGCCGCGCGGCGCCCTGCCCCGCGCCCTCCAGCCCCGGCCAGGAGCTCTGCGGCAACAACAACGTCACCTACATGTCCTCGTGCCACCTCCGCCAGGCCACCTGCTTCCTGGGCCGCTCTATCGGCGTGCGCCACCCGGGCAGCTGTGCAGGTGCGGCGCGGAGCGGGGAGCAGCGGCGGGGTCTAGCGTCCCGCCCCTCTCCGCGCCCCCATTTCTCTTTTCGTCCCTCCCACTCTGCAGGCACCCCTGAGCCGTCAGATGCAGAGTCGGAGGAGGAGGAGGAGAACTTCGTGTGAGCCTGTGGGGCCGGCTTGGGCCTGGCGTTCAAGGCCTCCCCGTTTTATTTATTGCCACAGCCGAATCTAATTTATGTCCCATGGACGCTCCCCAGAGCCTGGACCGGGACCACCTGGGGGGGCCCGGGAGCCCCCTGACAATATCTTGGAAGGATTGCGGGGGAGGAGGCCTGGGAGTGTGGCTGGTGGGTAGGGCTCCCGCCGCAGGTACCGTGCTGCCCAGGACGACCCCATGCTGCTTCTGCTCTAGGGGATAACTTAATTATCGCCACCACCGAGAGGGCTGGGAACTCACCCCTGCCGGCAATTAATGAAGAAGCACCCCAGTCTTCCCGACTACAGACTGGGAGTGAGGAAGGGGTCCACGGCCTGGGTGTGTATAAATGAGCCTCAGAACCTACCCAGGCCTCAGATAGGCCAAGGAAGCAGCCACTGTCCCCAACCAGCTCAAGAACTCCAGGGCTTGCCTTCCCTCCTGCCCCCATTTCCCTAGTACGTCCTGTGGTGGCCCCTTAGAAAAGCCCAGCTTGTCCCCTGGAGTGGGTGAGGGGCTGTCTGTGTCTCCTGACACAGGCCTTGGGCCAGCATCAGCCCAGAGCGGGGCATTATGTCCAGTGGTGCCCAGTGCACTTAGGGCAGGACCCAGTGGGGCACAGGAGCCCCTGCTCACCCACTGGCCCGGGGTGGGGTATATGTGCCAGGACCCACTCTACCCTGCCTCCTGGAGCCACGTGTCTGAGCGGCACCCCTAGTTCTGGCTGCCCCATCCACAGGTGAGGTCCAGACCAAAGCCTCTCAGTCCTGTGAGACTTGCCCTGGCCAAGCCCCTAAGCCCAGTTCCAACTGGACCCTCCTCACCCACCAGCCGGCTCAGGAGTCTTGACACCAGCCAGATGCTGGCCTTGGGCCAAGTCCCTGCTTTCTCTCTGGGCTGTTGCTTGGTGTCCCTGCCCCATGTCTGCATGTGGACCAGAGGGTCAGGCCACACGTGGGTGGCCCAGCAGGCAAGAGTCCAGCTCTGAGTTTGGGGGAGCCGCACAGGAGCGGTTGTGCTCTGCCTCTCCTAGCCCCTCAGAAGTGCCTTACCTGTGACCCTGAGAAGTGCCCTTTAGTAATGGGTTCACCCGAGCCCCCCGACAAGGCCATCTCCCCTAGCCTGGGGTCCTGCCTCACCAAAGAAATAAAGACTCCACTTTGGAGTGTCCAAGCCTTGGTTTGCCCCTCTCTCTCTCTCTCTCTCTCTGTTTCTCTCTCTCTGAGCCTCTGTGCTGCCCCCCTTTGGTAGTGGGTCACCAGCCAGGGGCCTGGGGTGTTGTTAGGGTGGTGAGTGGGGGGAGACCCCTTCTGTCTCTGGGCCTCAGTGTCTACCTCTGGGCAGTGGGCAGCAGCCAGGGAGACAGCTGAGGACAATAATGTGCGGAGCTGGGGGGGTGCGGGGAGAAAGCCTTTCTAGGGCAGGAGAAGGAAGAGGGGATCAAGATGGCTTAGGGCACCCCCAGGAATCCCCCTGAAGGCACCCCCAGGAGGCCTGGCCTAGAAGGGTTGGGGGTGTGATAATAGCAATAATACAATTAATGATAATGCGACAATAACACCAGCTGGGACTTACCCAAACCTTGTGACAAGCCGGGCAACGTTTGTTGGAAGCACTTTTCAGAGAGTGAGAACAGACTGCACGTGGAGCCTGGCCAGCCTGAGGCCCCACCCTCTCCCGGCCTTGGCTTCCCCACCTATACGGGGGTGTGGTTAGCTGGAGGCTGAAGGAGTGCCACACGGGGGGCACTGCGTGGGCAAAGGCCAGGAGGCTGCACTGGCTATGGGCTATGGGTGGGTCAGTGCGGGGAGGGTGGTGTGGGGCCTGGGTCCTGAAGCAAGCGGCTCATCGTCACTCAGGGAGGCAGTGGCAAAGCCAGACCCTCGGCCACACCAAGGCACAAGAGAAGCTCAAAAGAACGTGGATGGACCCTGGAGATGAACCATCCTGTCTGGTTATTCAGTTAACATTTTATTTGGTCATTTTGGCCCTTTGGGTTTGGAACTGATGCCCTCTCCTACCCCACACCCCACCCCATACATGCCAGGCTTCCCCGGGGCTTGGGGGGCCCGTGGATGACCTGCCCTGGCCATGGGATTTCCGGGGAAGGAGCTGTTTGCATCGTTTGCCATCTCATTTGTATACCCAGTGCTGCCGTGGTTCCGGCAACTCCTGCAGGGACCCGGTGGTCCTGGGCAGGGGGCTGGGCCGGGGCCCTCGAACCACATCCCATATCCAGCTCACGAAGGCAGACACCTGCGTGTACACATCGGGGGTCTTGGGGTCGCCGCACCAGAGTCCAGAGAAGGAGACAAGGCCGTGGGCCTGGTTCCTGCACACCAGGGGCCCCCCAGAGTCCGCCTGGGGGTGGAGGGAAAGGCAAGTTCAGGCGTCCATCTCTGGGCCTCTTTCCCCGAAGGAGCTTCTATGTGCAAATCTGATCAGGACCCTTCCCTGCCTCGAAACCCTTCCATGGCTTCCTAGTGCTCTTCCAGCAAAAACGATACTTAACAGCCTTCAGGGGCTGTGAGCATCTAGCTCTCACCCACCTGTCTGTCCTCCTTTCCTTTCGTTTTGGCCCTACCAGCCTTCTGGGCTGTTCCTGAAGTAAAGCAAGCTTGCTCTAGTCTCTGGGCTTTTCTATATCCTTGAGACCTGTTACTGCCCCCTTTCAACACTGCTGGTATTGATATACAAGTCTGCAGTACTTTGTGCAGTAGGCGACCTGCACAGCTGTACATGGCAGCCCTGAGATGAGTCTCTGCCTGGCATGCCTTCCCTCAGATCTCCTCAAGACTCCTTCAAATCTCAGCTCAAAAGGTGCTCTCCTCAGAGAAGCCTCCCTGAATACTCACCCTAAAATTGCTGCTTTCTCTCCTCCTCTCCCCTCCCCAGTCCTATCACCCTAACTATAATCTAAAATCAACTCTGACCCTATGAAGTAGGTACTATTAGTGTGGCAGTTTTACAGATGGAGAAAGGTCCAGAGAAGTGAGGTGACTTTTCCAAGGCCACACACCTGGGAAGTGGCACAGTTTGGATTTGGACCCACACAGCTGGACTCCAGAATCTCTGTTTTGAATCACTACACTCTGCCTGGAACAAAAAATCCTCCAGGTTGAGTTTCTCCTTCAGCATCAGGGCCAGGGCTGCCATTAGTCCATACAGGGTCTCAGGAGCAGAAACTCCTTAATCGAGATGTGTACTGCACCCCTACTGAACACCGCTTATAGATACACAAATCTGTAGCCCTTTGTGCAGTGCACAACCTGCACAGCTGTACATGACAGCCCTGTGACCTTGGAAAATTCTTTGTCCTTCCAGGGTCTCAGGTGAGGTCTCATCTGGTCTCAAAAGTGAGCTGGGACTTAGTTCCCAAGACTCTGCCCATCTCCAGCCCTCTCTGTGGGCCTCAGTTTCCCCATACCATAGGCAGGCAGGGTGGAGACAAGTATCTTACTGAACAGAAGCCACGTCGCCGGCGGTCCCCACTTTGGGTGCAGAGCATGCCAGGGTTCAGCTGGCCCCTCCAAGAGCTGTTGCAGATGTCCAGGCCCAGCACGCGGACCTCAGCCTCCATCAGCCCGGGCGGCAAGTCCTCAAAGTTAGATATGGAGCCCCAGCCAGCCACCTGGCACCGCGCCCCAGCCTTGAGTGGCCTGGCACCTCTCCGTGGCAGCTTCAGCAGCCCCACTGCAGGACCCAGGACAGCAGAGCGGTTCAGCTGCAGAGAGACTGCTGAATTAAGGCTTACCCCCCGACCTCCTGCCTCGGTTTACCCATCATGACACCTGGTCTCTTCTTGGCCTCATGGAGAGAAATCAGTAGCAGCCATCGGGCCATCAGGAGGCCCTGCCCATCAGGCCTCACCCCCTCAGACCAGGGCTCTGGCCTCCCCTGCTGCCAGAAGTAAGTGTCCTTCTAACCAGCATCTCCCCAGCTTGTAAGCTCTCCCATGTCTCCCCATTGTGCTTGGGACAATACCGCTTGCCTCACCATTCAGCCCTCCCCTCCAGGTAGAATGAACTTACCGTCATTCCCTGGTCCCCCCACCCCACTCCCCCACCCCTTCAGGCTGGAACACCTTTCCTATCCAGCCTTCAGGTCTCAGCTTAGATGTCACCTCCTCCAGGTGACAAAGCTCCCCTCTGAGAACAGATGAGACCTCACCTGAGACTAGACTCCCAGGGTACGACAGAGCCTCCTCGGGGCTTCCATGTGCCCCTGTCAGGACCAGTTTACTCAGCTGCCACCCTGTTGGACTGGAGGCTCTAAGGGGACTGGCCCTGGGGCTGTTTGTTCATGGCTATATCCCCAGTTCCCAGCACACAGCTGGTGCTCAATCAATGTTTATGGAATGAATGACCCAGGCCCCCAGTTTTGGTATTCACTCACTCCTTGTGGCCTTGGCCCTGCCCCGACCGTACCCCAGCCTCGGTTTCCCCAGCTGCATAATGGGATGGGTGAGCTGTGGCTTCCAGGTTTTGGGGTTTCACAGATGAGCAAAATCCACATGTGAGCTTTGGCCACTGACACTTGCTGCGCCCTTCTAATTGTGCCGAGAGAACATGGCACCCCAAGCCCTCCTGTTCCCAGGGACCTGTTTCTGTCATGTGGAATGTCCCTCTGCTTTGGACATTCCCCTTTTCTCCACATTTGGAGAGCAGGTTTGAGGTGTTTTCTCGTTAAAACGGAGGTCCTGGGATGCATGGAATTGAATTTGGGGCACCTGAGTGGGAGATGTGGGGGGTGCCCCCCAAGCAGGAGGGGCCGTGGGGGGTCCAAATGGATGCACTCTGTGTGAGCAGGGAGGGAAGCTCACATTTATGGGAAGAGCTGCTTCCTGCGCAGAAACCCCACAAAGGGCCTGGGGAGCAGGGACTGGAGTATCTGATGCCCTAGGGTCTCATCTGTTCTGAACATCGAGGCCTGCTGTGGGCCATAAATGGCCACAGGAGATAAAAATCCCTGTCCTCCCAGTCTGGAGAGGAGGCAGTGAACAATGGTGAAGAAGCAAATGTTTTCAGCAGTGCTGGACCCAGGATAGGTGGGCCAGAGGGAAGGGATGGGGAGACGGCGGGGGGTGGGGCAGCTTGCAGAGGGGGCCTCCTGAGAAGGGAACATTTGAGTGAAGACTTGAGAGAGTTGGGGGAGGGAGAAAGCCAGGTGGTGTCTGTGGGAGTGTGTCCTGGAGCGAGCCACAGCCAGTGCAAAGGCCCAGGGGTTCGAGCATGCCGGAATGCTGACAGCTCAGTCGGCCCTGAGTCGGGGGCTGAGGGGAGAGTGTGGGAGGCACGGAGGGCAGAGGAGAGACGTGACCTGACTTGGGTGCTCACGGGACCCTTCCAGCTGCTTTTCAAACATGTCAGTCAGGCCGTCATGGGGTGGCCACGGACAGCCCAGACCTGCCTGCATCCAGTGTCCCCCCGCCCCCAGCTCACCTTCAGCAGACAGATGTCATTGGCATGGGTGGTGGGCTGGTAGTCCGGGTGCCTGATGAGAACCGAGATGCCAAACACCTGCTGTGTCGGCTCTGGAGCATGCAGGACGTGAGCCCCCAGCACCACCAGGCCCGTTCGGGGGTCCCTGCAGGGGGAGGGGGTCTTGAGAGCAAGACTGGGGCCTCGGTCTCCCCCGTCTGCAGAATGGGGGTGTGGCAGCCCGTGTGATCCTGGCGAGAGCCCTGTGATCATAATCATGTGTATCTGCATTCCCGCTTCAATTATGGGATTTACCCAGATCGTCAGAACATTAATGTTAATCAGTATTATAACAAGGTACTTCGGATGGACGTAATGCTTGCTATATTTCTTATAATTCACACCTCAGTTATAACAGTACCTCCGACACTTTCAATATTAACGTCAGTGGTTGTTTAACAAGGTATTCGGGATGGACGCAGGGCTGCGCTCCTCACGCACCAAGCCCCCCCACCCCACCTGCTGTCAGGTAAGCTGCCCCTGCCGAGGACGTGGGGGCTGTAGCAGGCCCCAGCGTGGGCTCACCTGTGGCTGAAGCAGTGGGCTGCGGAGACCACCCAGCGGGCACGGAGCAGGAAGCCTCCACAGTGGTGCTGGCCCTCAAATTTCACAGACGCCATGTAAGGCCGGGAATGGGGCGTCACCTCCTGGCCCCCGATGATCCGGGCACCCCAGGAGCCTGCCGGCAGGGCGGGACTGCGTCAGGATGGGGCAGGAAGAAGGGTGGTGGGAACGGACGGCTCAGGCACCTGCTGGGGCGGGGGTCGGGTGGGGGCCAGCAGGTCGAGATGGGCTGGAGGCGAGGAGCCCAGGGAAGGTCTCCGAGTGTGTGCTGGGAGGAGTCTGGACCCCAGAAAACCTGGGCCTGGACCTCCACCCTGGTCCCCCATCCCAGCGACAAGCAGGGCAACTACCCAGAGGGCTGAGTAGCCACACAGGCCAGGGGCTCTCACCTGTGGGCCTCATGGGCAGTGTGAGGACCACGGTCAGCAGCAGCAGCTCCCTGGCCCCAGGCCCCATGGCTGTCACAGGCTGGTGGCTCCCTCCAGAGCTCAGCAGGACACGGCCCCCACCCTCACCCAACGGCCCGGGAAGGGGGAACCTGGCTGTGGCCTGTGGTCGGAGGTCGGCCTGACCCAGCCAGCAACGCCCAGTTCTGCACTGGAGCTTCCGAGAAATCTGATGACTCCCCTGCCACAGGAAGAGTGGGCGGCTCAGGGGCTGCCTGCCTGGGGCAAAGCCCGGCTCTGGGGAGCCCTGTGACCCCAGCAGTCACTTACCCCCCCTGGGCCTCAGTTTACCCAGCATCTGCCCATGGCACGTATGCAGGGAGCTTCCTGCAGCACCCAGTACACGGGCGACAGGCATAGGGCCCTCGGCTGCCTCCTGAGGGGTGTAGGTGCCGGCTCTCTGGCTGAACGGGGTCTGGCCCCAATGCCGCCTATCCCCCATCTGCAGCCCCAGCACAGACCTCAGGGCTGTGAGGACAGTAAGATGGGCCTGTGATTGTTGCTGCCTTGGTTGCATTTATTGAGTGCTGACTGTATACCAGCCTCTGGCAAGAGCCAGAGGCAAGAGCGGGATAGTGACACAGCGCCCCCCCCCCATGGTGCTGATGTTCTGCAGGGTCACGGGGTGTAGGTCTGGTGATCTGGGGTCATGGCTGATGCACAGTTCTGGTGACTAGAGAACATAGAGACGGACAGGGGTCACTCAGGCCTGTGAGGCAGAGGGTTCTGCGGGCTCGGGAGCAACGTGCGAGCGGCAGGGCCTGGGGGAGCCTCCGGGACACGCGTCCCCTTGCAGAGGCTCTGCTGAGACCAAAGCCCTCACCCTGCCCCACCCACTGGTACCACTCAGCATGTGCCCGACCCAGGACACAGAGGTGGAGACGTGGCGTGGGCATCTGCAGAGCCGGGCTCCCTGCCCAGTGTGGAGGACCCGACAGAAGAGGGTGGCTGGGTGTCGGGGTGGGGAAGCTGCGGCACGGGGCCAGTGTTTCCACCTGGAGGGTGGGGCTGCAGGGTGCCAGGCTCACGCTGCACACACCTCACAGTACCTGGGGCAGGTGGAGGTGCAGAGCCCGTCTCCCAGGACCACCCCTCGCCAGGTGGACGTCCGGGCCCAGACGAGCGTGGAGGCGTGCTGCTGGGGGGTCATCGCAGCCTGAGGTGCTGTGCCAGCTGGTCACCTGACATAGCAACCCTGGGCGCGCATGGGGGGCGGTGTCCAGCCTGGCAAGGGTGTGGGGCAGGTAGAGAGGAGAGCTGATGGGGGCTGGAGGTGGGGAGAGACCCCCGGGGGCAGAGAGGGAGGGAGGGAGGGATAAGAGCAGGAATGGTGGCACTGAGGAGGAGGCACGTGGCCGCAGCGCACTCCAGGCTTTGTTCTGAGCCCCTCTCTGAGGGAGGGCTCGTGCATCCTCCCTCCAAGGTGCCCTTCCCAAGTCCGCCTGCCCGGCCCCCTTCAGGCGCTGGAGGTGGTGGCCGTCCAGCCTGCGCGGTGTCAGGACCCCGCTGAGGGTTCGGGTGTATGTGTGAACCCCCACGACTGCACTGAGGGTGCTGATGTTCCTGCGTTGGGAGGTGTGGGGACGGGGCTCTAAGGCTTGAGCACCCCAGACCTGCAACCCACCCCCAGCCCCTCTCTTTGGCCCCGGCCACTCACCTGGCCACCTCGCAGTGCATGGCCATATGCAGCACGGCCGGGAAGATGTCCTCACCAGCTGCAGGGATGCCATGAAGGGCCTCAGTGGGCACCACCTCACAGCCCCCCACAACCCCACCTCCTAGGGTCCTACAGGGCAGAGCCAAATGAGTGAGGAGCCGTGACCACACCCCCAAATGCCGCCCAGCCTCTCACTTGCCTGGCATGTCCAGTGTGACATGCCACCACACACCAATTCTCTGACAATTCTGGGCTCAGAAATACAGAATGGAGGGCTGGTGTCCCCTCCTCCCCCCGCGGCCCCCGGGAGACGAGACCCGGTTCCGGCCTCTTCCTGGACCGCGGCCCCCCCTCCATCCTCACCACAGGCAAGGCGGGGTCTGCCCATCTCTGGGACTCCCACCCTCTGCCTCCCCCTCGTGAGGACCTCCTGAGGACACCGGGCCCCCCGGGAACCCAGGGTCACCCCCTCCTCGGGGGGCCTGACAAGGTCCCCTCTGCCACGTGAGGGGACATGTCCCAGGTCCCAGGACCAGGACAGGGAGGTCTTTGGGGCCATGTTTAGCCCACCCGAGTTCCATATCTCCTGAGATTGCTGTGTGTCATCATCCCCATTTGACAGTTGAGGGATGAGGCCCAGAGACTTAAAGGTAGCAGGGCAGGGGTGGACAGGTGGGCTCGGGGGAGCCGGATTTTAAGCCCGGTGAGGCCCACCGATCCAGTAACAAGTGAATGTCATTCGAAGCTCCTGTGTCTGTGGTGACAGGGCAGGGCTGTGGGAGGGGCCAGCACAACCCTGAGAACCTGCGGGGAAGAAACCCCAGGGTCCATGCGGTAGCCCTCTCCGCTCGGGTCGGACCCCGTGTGGCCACCCAGAGCCCAGCTGCCTCGGGCAGGGGATGTTTCTTCGGGGGACGATTTGGGGGCTCTGTCTGCTCTGGACCACTGGGGCTGTCCCAGACCACACGCCCCTGGGGGGCTGGCGTGAGTGTTCCCCAGGCTGCGGGGGGGGGGGGGTCCCAGAGCCCCCTGGGGAATCAGCGTTGTTTCTATCCCTGTGACTGATGGAGAAGCTGATACACAGAGAGGATAAGTGGCTTGCCCAGGGTTGCATAGCAAGGGAACGATGAGGCCAGCATTCTCTGCCAAAGGCTGATTCTGCCCACAGCCAAGCCCATTTCCTTCCCATCCGGGGAATGCTTGTGAAACAAATAACGGTCCTTCTTGGTCGCAAACAACCAAGCTCCCCAAAGCTCCGCAGAATGGGTGGGGGGTCCCGTTTCCATTTCCCAAACTGAGGCCCAGAGAGGGGAGCCTGACTTGTCTGGGCTGCACAGCGAAGGGTCTGAAACAGAGAGCTCGGGACCTGAGTACTTGAAGGGTGTTCCCATGGAGGATTTGGGTGGCTTTCCCAGCCGGAGGGAACTCAGCCACGGGATGGTGGTGGTGGTGGCAGTGATGGTGATAGGTCCCTCTGCTGGACATTTACTTTTGTTATTGATTTGTGGGAGCTCTTTATATGTCAAGGAGTTTAACTCAGAGCCAGATGAATTTCTTTTTCCGAGCAACTATCAGGTGCAGAGGACACAGGCTCCCCTCACCTGCGAAGCCTGGGGCTCCCAGGGCCATGGCACAGACCAGGAAGACAGCGGGGGTCATGGCTCCTGGCATGCGGCTCCGTGCCGGGCCTGACCTGCGGTTCGGGGCCATGAAGCTGGGGAAGGGGTGCTCTGGAGCCTCTTGCATCTGGCTCACCCCTCCCTGGCCCCTTTAGGGGGCTTGTGACATTTGAAGTTATAGCACCAAGAGTTCCGGAGGGGCTGGCCCAGGTGGGGGTGCAGGGGGCCCGGTGGGAGCCTCCAGGCCCGTCTCAGCAGGCTCACCCACCACTGTGTGTAAAGAAGATAACAGCGAGAACCACGATTGTCATCACTGTTGACTCTCGGTTCCCTCACCCTGACACACATCACCTCCTGTTCTGACCCACAACCCAGGGCTGTTGTCACCTCCACACGACAAATGGAGAAACTGAGGCACAGCAGAGCACAGTGATCGTCCTGGGTCACTCCTCGAGCCCTGCAGGCTCCCACAGATGCTTGCTGAGTAACCACTGGGAGCTGGGCCCCAGGGCCACGAGATAAACAGCCGCTGGTGCAGGAACGGCAGCTCCAGGGTATTTATCCGGGTCCCCTCGGACCCAGCCCTGAGGGGGGTACACATCTGCGTTCATCACTCAGCCCGGAGCCAGTATGCAGTTGGTGCTCAGTCTGTGCCCAGCCCCGTACCACAGCCAGAGTGGCAGGAGAGGTGGGGGAGTGTATCAGGAGCCACTGGGCATTGGAGAAAAGCTCCAAAGCTTCCCGGAAGACCGCAGCTATGGCACTGGAGCCCAGGGACCCCGCTGCCCGGGCCTGTGACCTGGCCCCTGAGAGCCTCTGCCGCTCAGCCGCTCAGTGGAAGAAGGGCGCATAGCGCGCTGAGGCTCAGGATCAGGAGATGCTTAGGACAGGCTCCGGCCTCGGCAGCATCCCTCGTTTCGTTTAACCCACACATTTTATTTCTCTCATGTAATTTAATGAGCGTTCCAAGGAAATCACTTCTCATTTCTTGAAGAGGGCGACGGGCTGCCTCAGGAGTAAACACAGCCCCCCACCCCCCAGTGACGTCCTGTATCCCACGAGCGCCTCTCCGGACTCCAGGCCCTGGTGAGTGTGGGGCTGCCGTGCACCTGCCTGCCTCTCATAGGCTCTCCTGGCCCCGCACCCAGAGGCCTGGCAGAGAGCTGAGGAGGGCGTGGGCAGGAGTGGGCGCCACGCACACGGGAACCAGTGGGTAAACTGAGGCTGGGGGCCCAGAGCCCCATCACCTCTGCCCCCCTTGTCTGCCCTCACGGCTGCAGGTTTCCTCCTGGGGAGGGCTTTGGGGGAAGCAGTTTGGCCACAACTGGGGTCCCCAGAGCCACCCCCACATCTGGGGAACAGGTGACTCTGGGGCATCTCTGAGAGTATCAGAGAGGGGTCGGCAAGGGGCTGGGTGCCCGGGGCGTCCCTTGCAGAGTCCCCATGTGCCCATCTGCACACGGCACTGGCGCCGTCCTCCCCACGGGGGAAGTCAAAGTGGATCCTGGGAGATAGGAAACCACTCATCCCGTGGGTGTTTATTGAGCACCTGCTGTGTGTGCTGGGAATGCAGACAAGTCCGTGCCCGGGTGGACCAGGTAGATGACATCATCTGCCAAAAGTATTAAGTGGTACAAGGGTGGCCAGAGAAGGACAGGGAAGGGGATAGGGCTTTAAAACAGGGAAACGGAGGAGACCCAGTAACAATGGGCAAGCCGGGAAGGTGCTCCTGGAGGCGGGCACAGCGTGTGCTGACGCGGGATGTCTGGATGTGGGGTGGGGGAGGTGCAGGGAGGGCCAGGCTTGGCAGGGCTCAGCTGGACCGGGGAGCGAGGCTGCAGGGCCCTGGGGAGCCACAGCAGGTGTCTGACGGGGACAGGTTAGGGCAGAGCTCTGGAGTGCACCGAGGAAACAGGCAGACACGGGAAGCTGCGGGGCTGGGGGCGGGGCGACACGGACACAAGGCCTGAGCTGGGGTCAGAGCTGGGGGAGGTGAGGGCGTCTCGGACTCAGGCACAGGGGAGGAGGGGGCTTTGGGGGTGAGAGCCCCCTGAAGTCCCAGGGCCCCAGAAGATGTCCAGGGGCTACAGGAGCTCAGGGCAGGGCAGGGGGTGCTGGGCGGAGCCCCGGGGCTGGCCACGCCCAGCACAAGCAGGGGTGGCCAAGGAAGGGGGAGAGGGGAGAATGCCGTCATGGAAACCGTGGGTGCACGCGACCCAGACTGGGATGGGGGCTGCAGGGCACTGAGCAGAGAGGAGGGGAGATGGGTGACCTGTCCATGTCTCAGGGAGAAAGTTCAGCTCTGGGCCCCTGTACGCCCCGCCCTGGCACACCTCCCGGCCCTTGCTTGACACTTCCGCCACCTGGGATGCCTGCCCACCATCTCTGCCCCACCCCCTGTCCCGGGCTCCTGTGGCCCACCTCCAGGCTGGTCCCCTGGAACACACCTGAGACTGTGGGTGTTGGAGTCCGTGTTCTGGGACCCTGAGAGGACTTTGCTTTTGATCTGAGGGAGGCGGGCGCCCTGGGAAGTTCAGGGTGGGGAAGAGACCAGAATATGGGGATGGAGACCATTGCTCCCATCAGCCCCTCCCCATCAATACGCTCTCCACCTCTCGCTCCTGTTCTTGCACAAACCTCAAAACTTGCGTCATTTCTTTAGTAGACCAAAAACGCCCTGTCTCTGAGGACGAGGCTTCGGCGTCCCCCACACCTAACAGGGCCAGGAGCACAGTAGGTGCTGGAGGAATCTATGCGGGCTTAAGGGACTTGGAGGCGGAGGGGCAGTGATGAAACCACTCCCAGCCCGCTTTTGCTGAGCGCCTAGTGCAGGGTCAGATCTGGGCCCGCAGCACCTGCTTTAAAGTTTTATTGGCACTCAGCCACATGGATGCATTTGTGTATTGCTGCTTGGACACTGCAATGGCAGAGCTGATTCCTTGCGACGGAGATCGTCTGGCCCGCAATGCCAAAAATATTTACTATCTGGCCCTCTACAGAAAAGTGCCAAACCCTGAGCTTGTGTGCTGGGCACTCTTCCAAGCCTTTCTGTATATTCACTCCATTAACCCTCCAGCAGCCCTAGGAGGTGGGGTAGGTAAGCCCAGAGAGGTTAAGAAACGGACCCAGGGTCACACAGGCTGTGTGGAGCTGAGCTGTCACTCAACCCAGGGCCCCTGATACTTCTCGGGGCTTTTCCGTTTGTTCTAGGCTTGCGGTTTCACCTCACTGTGCTAATGCTGAAGGGGTACACACGCACTGTAAAGAGGGAGAGACAAAGACCCTCCCCATTGAAGGCTCATTCTAGGTTATTTCCTGCTACACACACAGCCCTTTATTGACCACCTGCTGAGTGGGGGGAAGAATCTACTCCCCCCCACTGCAGACCCCATATGTGTTCAGGGCCAGGGGCTAGTGTTCTCATAAGAACCCGGGAGGTCAGGGCCATAGTCTGCGTGTTGGTGGGGACAGGACCTGCCTCACTCCCAGCCCGTGGGGTCCACCTGGTGACGCAGCATGTAGGACTCAGGAGACTACAAGGAGCCAGGGCGGCAGAAGAGCATTTGGTTGCCTCTTTCATCTGACTGTGCCTGCTCCCCACATCATCTTGCCCAGGACTCCCCAGGCTGTGGAGCCCCACCGCTGCCTCAGGCTGGGCCTCACACTGAACCCCAACGTGGGTGTCCAGATGCCCACCCAATGTCACCCTGTCATCCCTCCAACCCTGTCTGTGTCATCGTGTCCTTCCGGGGGCTCCCCAGGAGACAAGGGGCCTCTAATACCTGTCATCCCACATCCCATCTGGTGGCAGTCCTGTTGGCTCCCCTTTCAAGATCCGCCCAGAATCCACCTGCCTCTCAGCCTGGTCCAGCCTCCACCCTGTCCCCGGGGGTCCTCTTCTCAGCCTCCAAGCCTCCCCCCACTTTGCTGTCCTTACTCCACTGGCAGCGGGAAGACCTTCACAAAAATAAAACAGGCTGACCCCTCTCCTGCTCCAAACTCTGCTATGGCTCCCCAGTGCCCTCAGGACAAAGCCTGCCTTCTGTGGGCTCTCTCCACTGCCCCTTCACTCACTCTGGCCGCAGGGGCCTGCAGTGTGGCCCCGGGAGCTGTGGGGTGGATTAAATGTATCAGCCCTCCTCCAAACACAGGACCGGGCCCCGGGCTCAGCAAATGCGGTGTTTTTATTATTCCTCCCCAAAGAGGTCCGGCTCAGTCCCACCGCCGGACCTTTGCACTGGCAAGCGCCCTCCCCCTGGACGCTCTTCTTCAAGATGGGCCTTCAGGTTGTCAGGTTGCAGCAGCCTCCTGGACAGCCCCTCCCCGGCTCCCAGCCGTCCTCGCTCCGGCTGCGTGTCCCCCTCCGCGCCCCCTCCTCACCCCGAGCTGGTCAGGGGGACCTCGCCTCGGCAGGGCGGGAGCGGCGGCCGCTCTGGGACGTGGGATTCACCACGCGGGCGTCCCGCGGGCCGCGCGGCTGGGGGCCCTGGGCGCCGCGCAGGGGGCGCTGCGGGGCGGCCGGCGGCCGGCAGGGGGCGGGCGCGGGGCCGCGGCGCCGGGAGCCGGCAGGGAGCGCGCGGGGAGCGAGCGCAGGACGCGCGGCGGCGGCGGCGGCGGCGGCGGCGGCGGCGACGCGCGCGCCCAGCCCACCCCCCGCGCCCGCCGCCGCCCGGACAATAAACAGCCGCGCGCGGGGCGATGCCCGAGCCGGTGTCGCCGCCCCCGCGCCGCGCAGCCCCGGCCGCCAGGCCTTAGTCCGCCAGGGCCCCCCGCCCCCCGCCCGGCCCGCCGGCCCCCGCCCCCGCGCCCGCCCGGCGCCCGCCCCCGCCCAGCATCGCCGACCCACCCGGACCTCGGCGGGGAAATGGAGTGAGTAGGCGCGCTCGGGCCGGAGGCGGAGGGCCCGGGGGAGGAGGGGGCGAGGGAGGGGTAAGGCCCCCCACTCCCGCCGCGCATGGGGCGCGTCGCGGCCCCCGCGCGGAGAGGGAGGTGGCGAGGGGCCTCCGGGACCCCAGCTCGGCTGGGGAAGCACTTGGGTTGGGCCGCGCCCGCCCTGAGGCCTCCCGCATCTCCGAACCCGGCGGCCCACGGGCTAATGGGGACTCGGGTGGCAGCGGAGGGGAGCAGCCCAGGACGCTGGGGAGGGGGAGGCCCGTGTCTCCGCCCGCGCCCCGCCAGCGTCCCCGGGCTAGCCTCGACCCTGGGCCACCTGTGGGCTCGAGAGCGGGAGTCCAGGGGTGATGGACCGACCCCTCCCCATTGCATCGCCCTGGCCTTGAGCTCACCCGCCAGCCCCCCGCCCCCACCCCCCAAGCCTAAGCTCGCGCGCCCTGTGCCCTGGACGCGCCAGTCCTGGCTCTGCCTGGCTGCTCTCCCGAGGGGCCACAGTGCTGTCAGGAGCCTCTGCTAGGGCCTGGGTCCAGCCGCCAGATACTGTCTTGAGAACCGCTGGAGAGAGGGGGCTTTTCTGCAGCCTTCCTTGTTCGGGATGTGTGTGAGCCTGGAGGTCCTGGTGCTTTCCAGCGGGGAGCTTGGGTCTGATCCCTTCCCAAGGAAAGTGTCCCCAAGATGGGGCCCCAAATGGTGTAGCCAAGAGTCTGGCTGGCCTATGGTGCAGGTGGAGTGGGCAGCCTGGGTCTCTGTGGGGTTCGGTGAGGAGCTGCTGGGTGGCAGAGGGTTCTTGCACGTGCAGGCTCGATGAGTGTGCCCGGTCATTTCAGAGAGAGAGTCCGCTCTCTTCCTGGCATCAGGGTAACCCCCAGGCCCCACTCCCACAGGTGGGCGCTGGAAGGTTGTGGGGTGTGTTTACATGGCCAGGGGATGGGATCCTGGCAGCCCCCCCACTGTGTGCTGAGGCCAGCAGGTACCTTGCTTTGGGCCAGGTCCCCACCCTGGCGGAAGGCCTGGACATGGAGTTCCAGCCAGCCCACCAGGCCCGGCTCCTCCTACCCTTCCCACTGGGTGTGTCTTCTGGGCTGACAACTCTCCTCCAGGGATTCACCCGTGACCCGCCACACCCTCAGCTGGGTGGGAGCTGCTGCCTCCCGCCCTCCCCAGGAAGACGACACCCGATGTCCTCTGCTTTTGAAAACCCAGACAAAGGCCCAGTCTGCTCCCCCACCCGGCCCCGGGAGCCCAGCCAGGGGCTCAGGGGAGCCAGGGCCCGGATGTGTCTGCACTAGGTTCCCCGACTTGTTTATCTGCTCTGCTCCCCAGGCCCAAGAGGAGCCTCTGGGCCTCCTGACAGCAGACCCTGAGCAGAGTGTGGCTGTGGGGAAGGGGCTGCCTCAGGGGACGAGGGGTGAAAACCAAGGAAAATGTCCACCCAGAGCAGAAGAATGAGGGGATATTCTGGTCGGATCCTGTTGTTTCCTTTCCTGCTATCTATTTCATTCTCGATGGTGATACTGAGGCCCAGAGAGGGGCAGACTCTGCCCCAAAGTCACACAGCACAGGGAGGACCCCTGAGTGCTTGCTGCCCTGCCCTTGTGCCTTTTGGTTAGATATGATGCCATGGGTCCTGCATTGGGTGGATCACTGGTTTTTCTGGATGTAGACGTGGGGCAGGGACTTGGCATTCACTGGCCCAAATAGCCATGAGAGAAAGCCTCTGTCCTGTGTGCTTGGGTTGACGACGGGTGGGGAGTGGCTCCATCTGGTGTCATCCCGATGGAGCACCTGCCCCTCATTCTCTCACTCATGCTCCTTTTCCAGGGGGCAGAGCAGGCTCTAGGCATGGAGGCAGCAGCCGCGAGGACCGAACCCCTCATTCCCTTTCCATGGATTTTGCCATCAGAGTCACAAGAGATGGTTGTGGCTTATGGTGACGCTGGCGAGTTTCTTTTAAAAATAAACTTAAGAGGGCGCCTGGGTGGCTCAGTTGGTTGGGCGACTGCCTTCGGCTCGTGTCATGATCCTGGAGTCCCGGGATCGGGTCCCGCGTCGGGCTCCCTGCTCAGCGGGGAGTCTGCTTCTCCCTCTGACCCTCCCCCCTCTCATGCTCTATCTCATTCTCTTTCTCAAATAAATAAATAAATAAATAAATAATCTTTCAAAATAAACTTAAGAATTTCACAAAATTTTGTTAATTTAAGTATTAAAGATTAAATTAGTTTTTGTTAATTTAAGAATTTGAGGATTTAACAATTGTTTTAAAGATTTTATTTATTTATTTGAGAGAGAGCGAGCGCATGAATGCAAGTGGGGGGAAGAGTAGAGGGAGAAGGACAAGCAGACTCCACGCTGAGCCCGGAGCCCAATGTGGGGCTCAATCCCGGGACCCTGGGATCATGACTTGAGCCAAATCCAGAGTCGACACTTCACCGACTGAGCCACCCTGGCGTCCCTTAACAACAATTCTTGAGTAACTCCAGGAAGGCAGAGGGCAGGATGGCTGATGCTGCTGAGGTGGGCCGGAATGGCAGACTCTCCTGGGAGCGTCTCGGGCCCCGGGTGGGACTCCTGCTCTGGGGAGGATTTGCCGTGTTGTCCAGGGTGAAGGGCAGCCACCCTGGGAGCCTCAAGGTCTGGCTGGTAAACTAAGGCTAGGTTAGCTCGGAGCAGCCTTTCTCAGATGCTCAAACTCCTGTCCTCCTGTCCTCAAGGCTCAGACCTTGGGACCGGAGCAGGAGAGCACATTCCTTCCCAGATCCGTTCCCCTACCTCCCTCAGGCCTGGACATCCTCCAGAAGGTCTCACCTGGGTGCAAAATGGGTCCTTAACGCCTCTTTCACACTTGCTAATCTCCCTGTTTAATGAGAGCTTGAGCCAGTTAAAAGGCAACACTGTCCTGTGATAATTGAACCTAGAACAAGCTTTGATTCTCATTGTATCTGTTTTGGAATGTTTTTACACTGATGTTTGTGCAAGCGCCTTCTGCTTCTCAGGCTTGGTAACAATGTAGCATTTCCTTCTGAGACAAGGGGGATTCACTGGAACAGCCAGTGGATTTGAAGGGAAAGAACGTTCCAATTGTAGTGGAGGTTGTGGCCGGAACACGGGAAGGTGGTTAACATTTAGTAAGCACCTGCTGTGTGCCAGGCCCTGTTCTGAGTGCTTCGTCTGTGTGAACTTGCTGGATCTTTACAGCAGCCCTGCAGGGTGGGGAAACTGAGGTAGAGAGAGGTGACCTTGACACACCTGGGGCCACACAGCTGGTATATATATGCTTCTGGGTCCTTTCACCTGCCAGGGTGGGGGAGGGTGTCTTTGCACCTTCCTGTGTCCCACGGGGCTGTGGTCTGGGCATGGGGGGGTGGTCCTAGGTATCCTGACATTGGCTTTTCACCCTGGTTTGTCTCCTCGGCTGCACGGAAGGTGGCTTTGGCCCCTAAAATCATCTACCTTGTGCCTTCACCCCCCAGGGACCCCTTCAGTGTCTGCTGATTTGGGAGTGGGGCATAGACAGGTGGAGTCCTGACCCCTCCATGAGACTTGAGCGTGTCATTCACTTTCCTTGGAAGATCTGGTGAATGGGGACATGAGCGCACCCAGCCCCCTCCCGGGTGGGATGCAGCTCAAGGATGGGGTGGGTGCTGTATAGTCTTGACCCCATATGTACCACATGGGCAGGAATTCTTCTCCAGCCCCATGGTGAGATCCATCTTCAAGGGTCTCAGATGTTGGTGCTGGAAAATGGGTTGATGTTCTTTAAAAATATCATATCACCTGTTTCCAGGTCTGAGACCCTATTTCCTACCACCGTTCTGCATTCAGGAAAGCTATCCTCAGTTCATTTACGTAACAATCCCTGCTGACCCTCCTAGCCTTGTGTAGGATCAGGGCCCTGAAGGAGCCCATGGAGGGTCTTCTCTGTGGTGTGGGGAAGGTTTCCTGGTCCATCCCTTCACAGACCTTTTCTATGAAAGATATTTAAAGGTGTACCTAGGGGTGCCTGGGTGGTTCAGCTGGATAAGCGTCCAACTCTTGGTTTCAGCTCAGGTCCTGATCTCAGGGTCATGAGATCAAGCCTGGAGTCAGCCTCGCACTCAGTGCAGAGTCTGCTTGAGATTCTCTCTTCCTCTCCCTCTGCTCCTCCCCACCCCCCGCTTGCACGCATGCACGCTTTCTCTAATAAATACATGTTTAGTACATGTTTAAAAATAAATAAATAAAGGTGTACATAGATGGGCAGAAGGGCATGCCTGGCAGAGGGACTGGCATGTGCAAAGGCTCGGAGTACCCAGCAGGGCAGCCACGGATGGTATCCAAGCAGGAGAGGGGTGAGGTTCTGACCCAGGCATAAGAAAGAGGCTCTGGGGGCTAAGAAGCAAGTCAGGGCTCAGTGTGGACAGTTATTGTGGGGGCAGCTTGGAGAGAAGTGCCAGGGCTGTGGGGGGAGACTCCGTATCTGGGAGGCAGAGACCTGACTTCAGAAGGCTGTGGCGGTCAGAGCTGCCCACAGGTCAGGGCGAGACGGCGCTGTCCCTGGATGCGCAGGGAGGGTGCTTTGGCCAGGCTGCAAAGGGACCTCACGCAGCATGGGATGGCGGAGTGCAGGTCTTGGTGTCTGAGGAGTGTGACGTCGGGCTGAGGTGTCTGTCTTCTGCTCAAGGGTTCAAAGCAGGAACTCAGGGACCATCTGAGCCCATCACGGGGACAGTCTGGATCGGGCTGGGAATTCAGAGGGGAGCCCAAGCCAGGCCTTGTGGTGGGAAAGACAGGCAGGAATCAGAGTGAGTGGGGGTCACTGCATGGACGAAGGGGTAGTGGGGGGATGGGAGCCCAGCCTGGGTGAGCAGAGGGTGAGTGTTAGGGGGCAGCACTGTGGGGCTTTGAAGGCCAAGTGAGGAGCAGGGGCTTGGCAGGGGGACTTCTGGTAACATCAGTCACAGAGTGAGAAGGCACTGCCCCAGTTGGTTTGTGCTCAA